TCTCTCCCTCTCCCTCCGTCTTCCTCCTTTCCTCCTAAACCCTTTAACCCCTAACCCTTCCGTCACCCCTTCCCCCTTCATGGCATGTGACTAACCTCTACCCTCACCTGTTACATTGCCAGGGAACGAACGGAAAGGAACTTAGTCCTCACTTGGTGGAAAGCGAGGGCAAGGGAAGGGATGCCGGTCCCTTGTGCCACCAAGAAGGAAAGGATACGGGACTATTGAGAGCATTTGCGAAAGCAAGAAGGAGTGCTGATTTTGGACGAGGTCAGTTTGACTCAACCCTCCTCCCGAAATGCATGACTGAGGTGATCGCATGGTTTGCCTGTGTGAAAGGGAGGGGAACTCATAAGGGGAATTGGAAGGCAAAGGCGACCTAGGATTGCGGGAAGGGGCGATGTGTTGACCCAACGGGGATTGTACTTGGTCATTTGTCTTGTGTGGTCTTGCACAGGTGAGTAGCCAGGGACGATTGGTACGGGGCTGGGCCCGTGGATGAGGACTAGGGTGGGAGATTGGCTAAGGAAGGACTTGGATCCGGCTTAAGCCATGGATGCGGGATGAGTTGAGGTCGGGCACTTGGGTGGATGGTTGATGCACGAACTTGGTTTGTGTGGAGGTTGCATCTCACTCTTGTGCAATGCGACCCCTGAAAAGACTAAGGGCGGTCTTGGATAGGTGGTGCGATGCTAGTGGCTCTCGCAAAAAATATAGCGGCTAGGGGTCAAGGGCGACGCCGCCTTACCCCAAGGATGCCGCCGGGGCTGCCCAGAGCCGCTAGGCTTAGTGAAAAGGTGCGTGGCCCAATGGATGACGCTTGGCCTGCGCACGATAAGAAGATGAGACTTCAATGAACTCCCTGGACTGCTTGTGTATAAGAAGGAGCAATTTCCTGGTCAAACTTAACCGAATCGAGAAAACGCCACAAGTGCCCAAAGAGCTACCATCTTGACGCGAGAGCGGAGCTACATCCCCCAATGTAAAGCCCTCTCGCAAAAAGGCCCATCCCCATCCATTTCATAGCACTAGGTGGGGGTGCCCCTGGGACAAACGACCCGCGCCCTAGGCGTGAGCGTGGGCGGGTCGAGCCAAATGGGCCCCGCAGTGGGGTCGACCGAGTCTCGAAAGTCCTTCAGGGTAAGGCCCCTACAAAAATGGTGGAGGTGCCGGGTATGGGTTTAACTGACCCTGACGATCTGGAGGGGAGCGCCCGACGCGTGACCGCGTACATAACTGAAGAGAAGGAATGAGGACTTGTGTGTGCTCTATCCCTTTGAGCGAATCAGATTTGAGGGTGGCTGGGCGCATGGCAAGGCCAGGCCTGCAGGAAGAACATGCATGCTTGCACTTTTGATCAGCCATCTCCTTTGGAGATGACTCTAGTCCTCCTTCCCTTGGACTGATGTTCGTCAGGCCGTGGAAGCCTTGGGCAAGCCGCAGGTCGACCCTTCCTCTTCGTGCGAAAGAAGGGCTCCGGTTACCTGGCAGGCGATCGGGATTCCGGGCTAGTCCAGGTTCCAATGAAAATCCTGCGGCGGAGTGATCCGACCGACCTGGGTGCCTTCTCTTCTCCTCTTCGGAGCCCGGCGGGCTCTATGCACCACACTTAATGCTTGAAGGAACCTCATATGAACAGAAAAGGTAATCGAGAAGGAACAATCCTGCCCTATGAACGGACACACAAGGAAAGATAAGGGAATGAAGGGAGTTGCTAGACTCCAAGGAAAGCTAGCTCCCCCTTGAAGATGCTCACGAGAAGGAACCGGGCACTGTGTATGGATGTTAGGGGAGAGTGGCACGCACTGTCCTGAGTGAAAACCTGTGAGCAATGGGTAGGAAGCGTGGGGTGCATCTGGGGAAACGTACTTGTGTTATGTGTGTCCCACTTGGGGCTTGTGTTTGCATTATGGGGATTCGAGCGTCCTGCCTTTTGGAAGGAAAGGATTGGTTTGCGCCAGGCAGTGCGGGATGCGGAATGGTCATCGTCTTTGAAGTTCACCGGGTTCCGTGTGTGGGGGTCGGGCCACCGGGCTGTTAGGCAAGGGTTGATCCCGTCGGCTGATTAGTAGCATTCTCACCCGAGCGGTCTGAGCATGGCTCGATGACCTTGCCCAGGCGGGGTGTGAAACGTCTTCAGGCGGGGCGGCTGCTTGTCGGCAGGCGGCAGGGGGACCACTGCATACGGGGCAAGGAAGGAGCCGCGGAGGCGATTAAAAGCTTCTCGTAGCATGGCCTGGAAAAAGCTAATTCTTGTCGGACCGATGGAAGTGAATGCCTGGACGGCCGACTCCAATGGCCTCACCGAGATGTGCGGGGTGATTCCCGAGATTAACGGTGGGTACACGAGTGGCAAGTTTGGATGGGGTATTCTGGGTAAGGAGGAAAGGGCGAATACCTTGTCGAGACCTGGGTACCGCGCTCGCGACGGTTGAGCCGTGCTTGAGGTATGGGGTAAAGCCCTGCCGATAGTAACAGTGGAGAGGCCATTTCCGGGGAAGAGGTCGGTGAGGAGATAACCGACATGTGTGTGACGATTGCCCGAGTTTTGTTTTTTTGTGCCTCCCTCTGTAAAGTTGCCTGATGAGTGTTGGATGGGGATCGAATTTGTAGTCTATTCTCAACCCCTGCCTAAGTCTGCACGAGTGAGAGAACATGAGGAAAAGGCTGGACAGGAGTCGGAAGAGAGTGGAACCAAGAAAAAGGAATGCGAGCGGCTGGTGATCGATTGGGGGTATTTTAGGGCAATGGCACCAGGGAAATGAATAAGAAAAGTTAGGGAGACCCGGATGAGGGGTCTGAAAACAACTCTCATCTAGAAAAGGAAAAGCAAACCATCTGACCATGAGGGGCCGTGTGGTGCTCTCATGTGGAAAACAGGACAAGCGTCGGGAAACAAGATGGCGCGATGGTTGTCGCCTCCTGTCTACTCTAGTGGTCCGGAAATGCCTATAGAGGTAAGGGATGGGGTATCTGTGGTTCTCCCGGAAGAAGGGACGTGGACCGACCTAGAACCGGCCTATGAAACCGTGNCTATAGAGGTAAGGGATGGGGTATCTGTGGTTCTCCCGGAAGAAGGGACGTGGACCGACCTAGAACCGGCCTATGAAACCGTGATGCTGGACGAGAAGGGCGCGTTCCTCTGGATAGAGACAATCTGGACTAAGGTCAGCTTGACGAGACTCTCACCTAGCTTGATGGACCTAGAATTCCGAGGAACAGTGGACGCTCGAGGGTGGGTCTACCTGTCACAAGAATTGGAAAATGCAATGGTAGTGGGACTAGTATTAGGCACGGTACCGGATCAGTTGTTTAGGCAAGCGGAACGGGAAGCGGTATGGGCAGCATGTCAGCGGGCAGAAATGGAGATGGAAAGGATGGAGGTGCGAGTGGAACTCGGGGACCGGAAAAATATGAGACGTCCCCTCAGGGAAATGAGGTGCGTGATACCCCCGTTTCTGGTGGATGCAGTCTTTGGGACCAGGGATAGACTTGAACGAATATGCCAATCGATGTCACGCCTGAGGCTGTACCAATGTGTTAGACAAGAGTTCTTTAGGCTGTCGGTGGAAGCAGGGCCGTTTGAAGGAAACTGGGCTGAAGAATTAGCTGAGATGTTAAACCTCCTCAGCGCGGATGAAGTCTTTGTTCCTAGTCCGGTGTATTGGCAGATAGTTTACCGAAATGTGGCGGCAGGGGAAACCTTCTTGGAGGGGGTGAAAAAGATGTTTTTAGGTGAGGAGTAGGATTTCAGTGATGAGGAGGACGGGGACGAGATAGAGGACTGGGACTTCTGAAGGGGGGGGGCTTACCTGGGGGAAACGGGTTGTCGACTATGTGCAGGTAGGGAGCGATGGCCCAAAAACTAGGGAGGTCATAATCCGCCGTGAGGTAGCAGCAACACCTTGCTATGTGGATGATGTGTTCAAACTGTTCGAGGTACTGTGGTTCGACTAAAAGCAGAAAAGTCGTGGGGCTAGGCAAATAAGGGGAAAATTGCTAAGACAAGGGAATGGGATGTCTGGCCATTGTAGGGTTCAGTGCGGATTGGGAGCCAGGAGATCAAAGGCGAGTGCGTGATGGCGCGAAGAAGGACGTTTCTCGAGGAACGCCCCTTGGGCATTGAGCCGCCTAGGGAAGTACCGGGTGGGGTAGAGGTTAGCTTGCCGGCGGCAAGTGAAGGCTTGCACCAGGTGGCAGATTGGGTCGGGGTCGAGATTGCGGAAAATATGGTCTACTTGGTGACGAAAGTTGAGTGGCGTGCGGATGAGAATGGGGAATGGAACTCGGACCCGCGGGGGCATGTGCGTGCAGAAGGACGGTTGTATGTGTCAGAGGATGGGTGGAGGGAGTTCGGAGTTCGGCTGGCATCAGGAGAAGACCCGTTGGGCATGTTTGAAGGGGCATGGCAGTTAGTATGGCGAGCGGGGTTTGAGTTTGCAGATCCAGGGGTTGACAATGTAACAGCGGACCTTAGGGTAGCCATGGTCGGGAGTTTTGAATTGCCTAGCAAAAATGTACGAATGAGGCTGCCGCCCTTCCTGCTGAAAAGGTTGGGCGGTCTAGGACTTGTTAGACGAGCAGTAGCCGACCTCGCAAGCGTGACATATGAAGATGCGATGGTACATCGAGAATACTATCGGGCCTTCCTAGAAATGGGCCCGTTCAGTGGAGAGCAGAAGTACGAGGTGTTGCGCATCCTGCGTGCTGTGTTTAGCACCAGGCCGAGGGCTCCGGTCGTGGGGAGTGAGGTCCTGTGGGGTGTCATCCGACGGGAAATAAGTCAAGGGATGGTGTACGTGGATGATCTGTACCGATTGTATGAGCCGATGGACGTAAGGACGGACCAATAAAAGAGGTCAAGGCAAGAAAAGGGAGGTTCAAGCTAGAAACCGGGGAGTGTTCGGGTGGGAGCTGAAGATCAAATGAAATAAGTAAAACCGCTTGCTGTTTAAACTGTGCAGGGGACTACTAAGTCAAAAATGGCGATGAGACGCGCTCGGATGTTGCGACGGTCCACACACCCGCGGCCACCCACGGAAAGTGGAGGCGGATGGGAGGTATCGCTCCCAGCAAGCTACATGATCCAAGGATTGGACATCGAATGGAGAGTCGTGACCTTGGGAAGAGGTCAGGCGTTCATGATGGTGGAATGTTTGTGGGATGGTATGAGAATTAACAGGGGACCGGGAGACGATTTGTATACCGATCTTAGGGTAATGGGGACCATATACCTGCCGGAACTTGGATGGTACATGCTAGGAACGGAATTGGCACTAGGTCACGGGTTGCTACCAATCTTCCGGAGGGCTACTAGGATGTTGAACAAGGTGGGCCAGGAAGTGCGGGGGAGAAGGAACGTGGGATTAAGAACTCGGGTGGAGGTCGGAGGCTGGCGAGAGTTTAAGGCCCCAATGATCGGGTTGAGGTGTCGAGTACCTCGTTTCATGGTGGACTTGGTATTCGGTAGCCTCAAGAGAGCTAGGGACCTGGTGGATTCGACCTTGGTCTGGATCCACCTCTTCCGGTCAGAAACAACGAGCATGTTCTACGATGTGTCGGTCAGACATTGACCGTTATGGGGTAATCAGGCCTGGGAATTACTTTACCTGATTGAAATTTTGATATTTGGGTTGCCTCGCTTGACGTTTGAGGAGTATGAACCAATAATCGTTAGGGAAATAGAGATGGGAGAAAACTATCTTGCTGGGGTGGCCGACCTGTTCGAAGAACCGGATGAGCAAGGCAGGCCTGAGGGACCGGCGTGAGAAAACGCGTCAGGAAGAAATAGGGAAATAAGGGACGGACACTAAGATAAGAAGGCAGCCATCACCAAAAAAAAAGGGGGGGGGCAGTGGTTGGAGTTCCGTCCGACCCAATAGCGCGGCAAGGAGGAACTAGGAAGACCACTCGCACCAGAAAACTCTGGGGCATTTGGAGGTTGAAAAGTCAAAAGGGCGATCCTCGATAAGGAGGCCACTGGGCTCAAACACCGCCCTAAGAGCCAAAGCGTGGCAGTAATAAAATGCCAAGCAGCGGCGGCAAGTCCCCCGGCGGGAAAACCTGAAGGACTCCCTGGGAAAGAAAAGTCAGGAGAGTCGGACCGATTAATGCAAGACACAAAAAACATGGGAATAAGTGGGTTTTAGGGCCGGGATTAGGGCAGTTATGAACAACCGATCATTTTTTTCGCAAATTTTTTTTCCATGTGCAGGCTAGGTAAAGAAATGGTGACTGAGAAAGGGATCGATGACCAGCAGAGCGGAGGGAATCAGGGCACGAATGGGGATGGGGAACGAAACGAGGGATCAGCAAGGGATCGAGAGTCAGCCAAACTGGAAGGAACCCGAGAAGACGGAAAGGATCTCGCAACTGGAGAAAGCTCGGGGAAAGTTGGGGGTAGCAAAAGGGGACCTCAGGAAAACAGGGAAGGGGGGGACGATATGAGAACAAGCCCTCGGAACTCAGCAGGAGCCACCCCTAAAAAGACAAAAGTCTTGGATGCCAGTCGTAAATTGGCAGAAATAGAAAAGCGGACTGCAAAATTTAAGGCAAGGCTTATCGAGCAGATGATGGCCGAGGATGAGGAGGACCCCCAAGGCGCAGGGTCACGTGAGGGACGAGGAACCGGTCAGGACGAGGCCAGGTATGAGGGGAAGATTTCAACAACTCTTGTTCATATTTAAGAATTTGAGAAATCTGAATTTGATCTAAATAACCTTTGACAGCCGCATAAATAACAACAACTTGCTTTTCAATCGAGATTGGACTCTATTGTGGTTGTTTCAACACTTCTGTTAGTCTCGCGCCATGGTTTAATAAATATTGAGTCGGTCGCTTTTTACAAAGACGAACACATTGCATTTTACAATGCCTTCGGCCCTCTTCTATCCAATGTGGTACTTCATGAGCTTGAGAAATTTGTCATGCGATTGAAGAGCATTGCCGACAGAGGGTTGTCGATAGAGAGGGCAACCGGCGCAGGTTGCGGACAAAAAGGATCACTGCGAAGATCCGGCGGCGATCGGAGAGCAGCCTTCAAGACGCGATAATAGCCACAAAGGAACGCCTAGCAAGAAGGGGAAGGACAAGAACGACCCCCCGGCGGAGGGGACGGAAAATGCTATGACCCCGCCTGCCATCGACAGCGGCACTAGCCGACTACCAGCCACGCCGAAAGTCACAGGGGCGTGCGACGGACTCTGGAGCCTTAGGGAAAGGGTGCTAGGATGGTTTGACCCAGAAGGAACGCCGAAAACCAGGGAGAAGCAGAGGGAAAGCAAGGAAGGGGAAGGGACCAGTGCAGCTGGAGAAGCGGGTAGCTCCGAAGGTGGTCTCAAGATGATAGTCACCACCCTCACCCGGGCACTAAACAAGAACCAGGGATATCTCGCAGATGCAAAGAAGAAATTCACGTTCGATGGGGCAAACATTACGGAGTTTCTAATAGAGTATGAGAACCTAGCAGCCTTACTGAAATGGACGGAAGAAGAAAAGATGGAGCACCTAGGGCAACATGTGTCGCTAAGCTTGGGAAGGGACATTATGGCCATCGTCGCGCCCAGTGGATCCTGGAAAGAAACCAGGAATGAGATGATGAGGAAATACCTGAAGGCAGAAAAAATGGCGACACAGGCCGAATTAGCCGCAGTCCAGAGGAAAAACTATGCGACTTACAACGATTTCCTAAGGGCATTTACGTTAGTGGCTCTGCGAATTCCCGGGGTAACGGACCGCATAATGAGTAAATACTTCCTCAGGCAGTTCTCCGAGTTTGACAAGGATAAGATTTTGTCAGCATACCAGCAGACCAGTAAGTTCGAGTACACGAGAGATGTGGACTTTAGTACGGTAACAGATCTCGCAGAAAAGACTGTGGTGACCGAGACGTTGGCCCTGCTTAAAGAAGGAGAGGTTATAGACCTGACTGGGAAGACGGGGGATAAGGTCAAGAAGGGGACAAAAAGTTTGCACGAGCGGGTGCACGGGGTCGATAGTAAGATAGAGAGAGTGAAGAACGCACTACTAGTAATGCAGGCACAAGTGTCCCGACCCGCCCTCCGACCCCAAGAGGCGTAGTTCCAGCAGCTGTAGCAAACCGGGGGCTTGGCAGGAGGGATCCGGCCAATGAGCAATGCAAGTATTGCACAATGATCGGACATTTCGTGCGGGCCTGCCTAAGGCTTAACCACGATATTATGAGGCAAAGATGCAGCAAGTCCCTTAAAGGTGAGATTTTCGGGCCTCAGGGAGAGCGCATAAACTGGAATTCGCCAGGAGGGATGCGGCGTGCCGTCATCCTCCTGAATAATCTGGACATAGCTGCCATAGAAGCAGAGCCGGTAGCTGACATTGTTTGGGATCAGCCGAGGGGGCGAGAGCGAGACCAGGGCGAATGGCCGGACCAGTGTAGCAGACATAGTATATACGGCACCATATAAGTGACTTGCTAAACATAGAAAGGGGGCGCCTCGCGTGTGAGTTTTTGTTGCAAGAACCACCAGGATGACGTCTCGGCGAAATTCGAGGGGCCGGAAGAGTTTCGTAACTTTTAGGGGCCAAGGCGTGATTAAAAACCCCTAGGAAGTGGAGAGAAGGTATCAACCAGCGGGCAACCGGAATCGAGCAAAGCATGGGTGTCCGAAATGGGGGAGTAAGCGGTTCGACTTGTCTGTCCTGATTGCGACACTGGTAAGAGAGCCCATCGAAACAGTAAAACAGGTAGAGGGCGAGAAAACATATAGGGTAGGGAGAACCCTAAAGTGCACAAGGAAGCGAGAGGACAAAGATTAAGCTGATTTGAAGACGAGAACATTTCCGGAACTGATAACGATAGGAAAACTGTGAGAGGTAGAGTCTAAAGCAAGTTCTCCTTCCTTCGATTGTATGGCATGCAGGTCTGATACGTTATGGACGTTGCAAGCAACCGAAGGGGCCGGAGAAATAAACGTGACCGGATAGGCAGCATGGATGGTCGGAATCCGAGGGAACAAGACGGTAGCATAAATGTCAACCGACGGTTCAACAGCGAGGGGGTCAAAGGCAACGCGAGGGGGATTTTGGAAAAAGGGGGTCATACCGGGAGGAGGCCTGCAGAATGTCGGGGAATGAGGCCAACCGTAGTCGGAAATACGGAAGAGTCACAGACCTCAGTGGGTGGAGTGACAAAGAAAAGGAAGGTAGCGGATACCCTACGAAGACTCAAGGAAGTGGAACAAATGGTAGCAACTTACAAGGCTGGTGTAATTGAAAAAATGATAAGGGATATCGAGGTTGAGAATGGTAATGAGCTGCATAATGATGAATGTCAGGGTGAGACGCAACAAGAGCACATGATTGGGAAGCCCGGTGGTTGGGGAAAGGGCGGAAACGCGGAAGAAAAGGGAGGGAAGCGACCCTCCGAGGTAGGGACCATGAAGGAAATAAAGGAGCGAGGAGCGGACTGTGGAATGAGTCAGCAGACAGGGGGACAATCCTTGTCAAACGAAGACTATAGTGACCTATGGGACCTAAGGGAGAAACTGACAGTCTATCTCGACCAAGAAAGGGGTGTCAGGACAGAAAGTCGCCAACGAAACTACGAAAAGTCTGAGGTCCTATACGGAGTGAAAAGGGGGTCGAAGGAGTTGCATGATCAAGGCGAAGGGGCAGACAACCAGAGAAAAAGGATAGGAGATATCCTCCGGGTGGGGCAAACCCGGGTATCTCGAACTGCCTTGGTACCCCAAGAAGATCTCGCTCCAAGAACCGAGCGCCGGACCGGTCGAAGGAACCCTTCCCAGGAATCGTGTCGATATTGCACCATGATAGGACACTTTGCTAGACTTTGTCCTAAGCTTAACCTTGACATCATAAGAAGGCGGTGTCTTAGGACCCTCAGGGGTGAGATCCTGGGCCCTAACGGGGAAACGGTTGACTGGAATTCACGTGGGGGAATGAGACGTGTTATAGCGACGTTAAACAACCTAGACTTTTCGGTAATGGAGAAGGAGGAAGCAGGCGAGCCCTTGTTGAGGACCCGCATGGACCAACATGGGACGAACCCCATCTTGAAGGAAGGGAGGAACGGTACGAGCAACTAGGTAACTTAACGAGGAAGGAGGTTGGTTATGCGCCATCATTCTGGGCCAGATGTAACCGGAAAGGGAGGAGAAGTCCTGGATAGGGTGAGACCGCCACTTGAAAAGGGAAAAGGGGGAAACGCTTGGTCTAAGGACGATGGTGCAAGAAAAGAGAATAGGTCCGGAGAAAGAAAGTGGAAGTCAAGAAGGAGCTTGACGATACCTTACCAGCGAGAAGGAGGAAAACCGTAAGAAGGGAACCAAGGTGAGAGATGCGACAAGAGAACATGGAGCTGAGAAGGTGAGGATGGTCGAAGACGAGAAGCGAAAAAACGAAAGGTTTGGGGAGATCCTCGCAAAGTTATCGGTTCCTGCTACGGGAAAGAGGCAGAGCGAGTAGTCAAACTTGAAGGGGAAGAAGGACCTGAGTTTGATGCCTTTTAGAAAAACGCCACAAAGTAAGCGTGAGGAACTTGGACAATTATGCAACCAGTGTTTTATCAATAGGTTAACGTAGCGTTTGCACCGGCAGAGTCAGAAGAAAGATGAGGAGAGGCGAGTCGGTCGCGGTATCGGTTTTCCGCGATGCTAGAACACTTGCCCTTTGGACAAGCTATTTTGAGATGTTTCGTACTAGCTGAGACAGTGGGATAAGGACTGGTGGCAATAAAAGAGACTAGGCATGAAGTATGTCTGACAAAAGTTTTTTTTGCAACATTCAAGTGGTAGGGCTTGGCTAAGTAAGGATAAGGTTGCTAAAAGTGAACGAGACAGGGATTAGTCAAGACTTAGCATAAATGAGCAAGTAAACAGTTCTCAAGACGCCTCTTTTCGCGGGCTACCTTGAACGGTTTCTGCAAAAAACAAGGGCTGACAGGAAACATTGGTGTGAGACTAACCAGGGCGGTTGTATTAGGGCTCCTAGGAAAACTAAGATTGTATTTTGGAAAGAGGTTATGAAATTTGGCTCGTTGAGGAAAGCAAGGCATTGAACGTTGGTCGAACACGTGAGAGGTTAGGGGACCTATGGGTAAAGAGGCATGAAGAACCATCTTCCCTAGGAGCTTAATCCAACCGGTCCCACATCAGCCCAGAACAGTAAGATGCATGAGAACTAGAGAAAGAGAAAACAGTGAGGACACACACCCTTTGCAATGGTTGAACGGCCGGGCGGGTTAGTGTTGCTTGAGGTTGCGATCCTCAACTCGAGTACTAGACGCTAAGTCGGATGTATGAATGGACATAAGGATGGAAAGTGGTATAAGGAAGAGGAAGAAGCATGCGTGAAAACCCAAGAAGATGGCCGCCTTCTAACCCCCGAGACGAGATATGATCCGTGTCCTCGAGGCCCACCCCCTCGGGCGCTAACATTGCAATGGACAAGGATGACCCTAACCAGGCTGTCCAATTGAAACGGACAAGGATGGGCCTAACCAGGCTATCCAATTGGAACGGATAAGGATGGTCCTGACCAGGCTGTCCGATTGCAGTGGATAAGAATGACCCTAACCAGGCTGTTCGACTTGGAATTGGAAAGAACGACCCTAACCAGGTTGTTCGGAATGGCCCCTGACAAGGGTCATTCTTTGGAATTGGCACTTGGGTCCCCTTGCATGGCTGCTTGAGATGCATGATACTGGAAGAGTTGAGCCTTGGAAAAAATATTGGAAGAGCGGAGCTTTGGAAAAAAGACACTAGAAAAGCTGAAAAGATATTGGACTCAGCCTTGGAAAGGATATTGGACTCAGCCTTGGAAGAGATATTGCATTGAGCATTGGACTGAGATTGAGCATTGGACTGAGATCGAGCATGAGAATGAGACTGAGCATTGGAATTGGATTGAGAATTGGAAATTGCATTGCATAAACAGGGGACCCTAGGCAACTTGAAATGGATTTGGAAATGGCATTGAAATGGATTTCTCTTTTCTTTTAGTCTTTGGCCTCAGCAGGAGGGGGATACCGGTGCATGCACCGCGACCCCAAGACCTCTATCTCTTTGAGGGAAAAAGTCTCAGCGCGACCTGTTCCTCTTGTAAGAGGATGAGGGTTAAAGGACTAAGGCACCTACCACTTGGATCGGTGCGGGACGTCCGAAACTGACCCCGACAATGAGCTCTAGTCGGGGAGTTCAAAGTGCGCCTCCTGTTGAATGCCTAAACCTCAAAGGGCGAGAGAGACAAATGGGCAAGGAAGCCATTCTCATCTAGTCTATTTTGTCCTCTCCAACCACACGCCATGTCATAGAGGGGTGCCATGGCCGTTAGGGTCGGACCTCGGCTGGCCGCACTAAGTTGGGCGGCACTGTCCAAGGGGAGGGGCTTGGCGGAGTACCGGGTGGAGTCCGCGGCCACCACGAGGCATTGACACTGCCCTGCCGGAGCATTACAACCACTTCGGGACTAATTGTGAGGTCTTCGTAACTGCACTCGCGGACTAATTGAGAGCCCCAACTCTCTTGAAAGAAAGAGGTCGGAATCCAGAAAATCACCACTCGGGAGGAACGATTCGCGAGGAACGCTCTTATGGCTAGACGAGGCCCTGGGAGGCTTGGATTGGACCTGCCTGACAGACGTGAGGAGGAACCTCAGTGTTGGTGCTCGCCACGTAAGAGAAGAAAGGTCGGACAGAGTAGGAGGATGAGGCGTCGCCCGCTGGGGAGGAATTGATCACTCTTTCTTTTGTGAAGCGGATGGGCTTGTGTCCTTGACTGCGGTTGGTGGGCCAAAGGTCTCGTACCTCCGAGTGAGAACCAGTCGCGCGATGGGGACATCGTGTTTTGAGTGGGGGGAAGGTGTGCCGTCTACCAATGAATACGCATGAAAATAAGACTTGTAATTGGTCTTGGGAAAAAGGGGCCTGTCAAGATGGCCGGAACAGAAAAAGATTGTAATTGACTTTGTATGGGCCTGAGAAAAGGGGGCTTGGCAAAACGCCAGAGCAGAAAAGACTTGAGTAAGTGACATGGTATAAACTTGAGAAAATGGCTTGGCAAGATAACTAGGAAGGAAAGGGCTGGTGTGATTGATTCTGCATAGACCCAGGAAAGGAATTGGGAGATTGGGAATTGGCTGTGTAATTGGCTCGTATAAGCTTGAAAAGATTAGAAGTGGCTGCGGGGTGAGCCAAGCAATGCACATGGACAGTCAATTAAGAAAGGGTAAGAAAGGGCAGAGGATGATATGCATGCGGAATTGGCAGGACCTGAGAAAGGCCGGGAGGAATGACCCGGGAGGAATGCATGTGGATTTGACCATGTCTGAGCTTCGGGAAGAGGAAAAATCGTACTGAAAATGAGTGGACGTCCTAAGAGTAATGAATGAGACGAGACCAAAAGGATTTATGCTCGAGAATGTTTTCTCAATAAAATGGGAAGATGGATTTGAGATCACGAATGCAGCCTTCAAGACATTGTCAAGAGCGAGAAATAACGTACAATGAAAGACTAATTGCAAGATATGTCTGTTGATGGACCTCCCCAAAGGGTAATGGGGAGGGTGATGGGCTCGTCGTCCTCTCTTTTTGTGGGACGATACCGAAGGTTGTTGGGAAGCTCTTGGGTATTTGGGAGCCCCAGTGAGAAAGAGATACAGCTGTGAGACGGACGTTGATGCACGGAGAGTGTTACGCACTCGACGTTACGCAATCCAAAGGAAACCCGAAACAAAACCTTGACCCCTCCATACCCTCCCCCGCCCCAGGGGCGGAAACTTAAAAAAGGACCCGAGAAAAGAGTGGGAAAGACAAAAAGAACCCTGGCAAGCTAACTACCCATCCCACCCAACTTCTCTTCCCTATCTGTCTACCACTCCAAAATTCCTACTGACCATGGATTGGTGCGCGATGAGGACATCGCGAATGAGTGGGGGGAATATGTCGGGACTGGTGAGTCCCGAATGATTTCCCGTCACTCAAGAGACTGTATATGATCAATTTGTGCACGATAGAGAAAACCGGAGGCAGGAATGCTGGAAAAAGCGGAAGCATGGGCGCGGACAGTAGGAAGCCAGAGGCTGCCCAGAGTCGTCGGGGCCGCCAAACTAGAAAGGGGTTGTCTAAGCAGAAAGCGGCAAAAGGACTGTGAGAGAATAGCAGGGGCGACTCCTTCCCCAAGGACGGAGAAGGACCGCGGGGAAGTCGGTAATAGCATAGGAGGTGCGCAACAAGGGAAGGAAGGAAGTGGTAAGGGACAGGGCGCAAGGCGCTGACGCAACGCGGCGGCAGGAGGGCCAGGGAGACCGCAGGGTAGGTGGGAGCCGGCACCCGGAACAGAATAGCATGCGGGACGCAATACAAGCGGGGAGCGGAGGTCGCTGTAAGCCAAAAAGACGTCAGGGGCACCAAGGAAAGACGTGGTACAGGCGGGGCAGGAATGTCGGGGACTACATGGGATCGAAGGACGGGGCGGTACCAGCAGGACAAAGCGCCGGGGACCATGCGGGACCAACGGGCGGCGTGGTGTCGGCAGGGCGAAGTATCGGGAACCGCGTGAGACCAAGGGAACGACATAATGCAAGCAGGCCGAAGTGCCAGGGACCGCGTGGGCCTAGATAAAATGGCGGCACCAGCGGAACCACTAGCAGATTGGGTATCGACGGAATAAAAAGTGTCAGGAGCCGCCGACAGGGATTGCCGACAGAACGTAGAAGACGGGCGCGAGGCGGGAAAAACGGAGGGCACCTGGGGCAACCCAAGGGGGTCCTGGATCAAATGCAACGACAACAGAAATAAAGTAGCATGACGTCAGGTGGACGGGACCAGCCGGGCCGGGGAGTCCGGATGAGAACATTCAGTGCCGCCACGGCAAGCGCCGGCGGGAGGTGTCGAGGCGAAAGAAAAGATGGAGTAGCAGCAGTAACGGGGGGCAGGCCAGCAGTCCGAGTATCGCGGACTAACCAGGCCAAGAAAAACGAAGTTTCGAGGGCTCCACGTGGAAAGAAGGGTTGGCCAGAGAAAATCGGAGCAAGGGGGTCTCAAACTGGCAGTGGCGGCAGCAAAAAGGAACCACCTTTGGCCTTGGGGGTGCCACTACTGCAGTCCGAGGTGTAACGGCCATATGCCGTTTGCAAATCTGGTCTTGGGAAAGGTCCAACAGCTAGAAAGAGGAGAAATAGCTATTGGACACTTGTCCCAACAGTAAATAAAAGAGAAAGGAGGAAAAAGGGGGAGAAAAGGGGGGAGAATGAGACAAAGAAGGAGGAAGGAGTGGAGAAAAAAAGTGCCACCAGGTTGGGACTGCAGCGGTAGGGACTGGCAGGTCTCAATGATGACCTCATCCCTCCTAGATCCTAGGAGGGCAGTCCGAATTGCAGAGATAAGGTCCTTGGGGCATTATCTCTGCAATATCTGAATTTAAGCAACAAAAATAAAGAAAAATGTTGATGTGAGTTGGCCGGCTGATTTGTGGGCCTTAGATCTGAGATATGATCTTGCGGAGGAGGAGATCTAGCCGTTTTTTGTGGGCTGACACAAAACGGCTAGCTCCGGAATGAGCTGGCAGCAAAATGGAGGGAAAACAAAGAGAGGAACAAGACAAAGCTGCAAACTTGGCCCAAGGTCGGGGCCAGGTACATCAAAAAAAATTGAAAATGGGAGTAAAAGACTCAAATTTGGAGCAAGGGGGGCTTGGGAGTAGCTCGGAATGATGAAAACCATGGATCTCAGCCAAATCCAAGGCTGAGATTTGTGCCACCACTTGGAAAAATGTAACGGCCTACTCACAAGAGGCCTAGATTAGAAAAAAAACGAAAAACGGGCCCCTAGGCCCTCAAATTTTGATAAAGGCTGCATTTTGGGGTAGTGGTACCCAAAAGGCAGCATTTTGTGAAGTGAAAAGAGGCCGGGGTAGGCCAAGGGGTAATCCGAGAGGGTACCAGCCTCTCGGACTGCATGTACCTGGCCAAAATGAGGCCCAGGTACCCCCGGGGAGGCCAAAACCGAAAATTTGGCCTTTGGGGTACATCGCTCCACCTAGAGGCACTTGGAGGGGCCTAGAGGGTGGGCGGTGCACCTGTTCCAGCCTACATAAGCTGGAGGTGCAGGCCGCCACTCTCATTTGCGCATGAGAGGTGCCCATGCTGCCCAAATGAGTCTAGGAGAGAGTCCGAGTAGAAGTGAAGCAAGGGAGTGAGAGCCGGAGCTAGCCTGGAGTCTGGCTATGGTGATAGGGCTGAGGGAGGAGGTCTAGAGGCTAGAGAAAGGCAAGGGAGGTGATCCGCGATAGCCCTCAGGCTGTGAGGGAGGAGGAGAGGTTGAAAGGGGTCCCCCTAGCCCTTCTAGAGGGAAGGACTTCACAACCTTGGAGGTAGGAGCCTGCCATAGCTAGAGGAGAGGTGTGAGGGAAGGAGGAGAGAGATAGGGAGGTGGGGAAGCCATACTCAAGGAGCTAGAACCAAGCTTGGGACTACATTGCCTAGGGACCAACAAGAGGTGAGTGGGAAGGGAGGAAGTTTCCCCCCCCCCTTCTTCCTCCTTTCTTCCTCTTCTTCTTCTTCTTCTCCCTCTCCTCCCTCTCCTCCTTCCTCTTCCCCCTCTTCTTCTTCCCCCTCTTCTTCTTCTTCTTCCTCCTCCTCCTCCTCCTCCTCTTTTTCTCCTCCCCCTTCCTCATCTTCTTCCTCCCTCCAAGACTGTGATTTTTACTGATCTTGATGCCTGTGTAAGTTGCGCTTCACCTTGGGATACTTCGGTGATGTTTCCCCTAGTGTAGACGATGTGAAACTTGTCTTTTTGTTGATTTGGGTGTTGGGGTGTGTTGCGCTTCACCTTGGGATACTTCGGTGATGTTTCCCCTAGTGTAGATGATGTCAAAC